CAAACCGAAGGATATGTCATTCATCTCAAGGATGAAGAATGAGAATCGTCAGGTATGACGGGGGTGCTTTTTTGCGTTTTCTCAAATATTCAGGGTGCACTTTTATATGCTTTAGGTGCTGATAATGTATGGGTCACAAACGGGTACTGCGGAAGAGTTGTCAGGACGATTAGCAAAAGATGTGTCACGTTATTCTAAAAAGGTATTGCTCAATGATCCATATTAAGGGCAAGTTGGGATGATGGCTAAGGACATGTGCCGTTTTCTGGCTGCTTTGGGGTCAAGTGTTTAGAGACTTTCCATTGCTCCCTTTTCGGTATTTGGTGGGTGTAGGGTCTTTATTGGAGACCAGACAGAGTTCTCCTACTTTGATGGTGTTCAAGGGTTGGATCACATTTCCAAATGCTTAATGATCTCTGCCATATCCTAGAATATTTGTCTCTGAGTTATACTGAAAATGTTTTCGATTATCATTGGACGATATATCGGGCGACGATTCCGGGGTGTGTGGTCATTCTATCGTGGGGTCGTCGCGCCAGTGGGAGGAGCGAGGTGGCGTGGCGGCCGCGCGTACGTGTTTTGTTGCGTGGCGTTCAAATTGTTAAAGGGCCGATGATCCCTTTAATAATTTGCGCGCCAAGCAACAAAAATCTCAAGGAGTGCTAGGAACAGTCTCCTTTCGGACGCCTATCGCAACGTTGCGATTGGAAAAGAGAGGATAGATAGAAAGAAAGGTTTATGCACATGGGTTTTGCACACATCGCCCCAAGAGCACTTTATGAAATCGGCTGGCTTGAACCTTCCTATTTCACGCATATCCGTTTCAGAATCATTCCGATTGTTCCTTCAAGGTTCCCAGGTGCCAGTAGTAGCTGCTGAAGTTGTTTGAACGAAAAAATTTATTAAAAGTTCATAATTTATTCCAAGAAACACCATTCAAACAGAGAGAGAGATTTGCAAAAATAACAAAGTGCGTTCACTAGTCTCGGAGATCAGAATGCAAACGCAGTGAAAAAATTAAAAAAGCGGAATTCGTTACAGAAAAGTATTAGCTACTTGATATGAGTGACTTCATAAATCGTTAAAACATTGTTACATAAAGTACAGTGAAAGTAATAATCTTGGGGAACGAAACAAATTACAAGAAAAGATGAAACACAAGTTTCAAGGTTAATTAAGCAGGTTTTCAAACTTTTATTTCACTGTCGAGAAGTGCGGAGCATGAAAAAGCGGGATATTCAACGGACGAACTTCTTTGTCATACATATGACGGAATATTGTAGGCATAGAACTAAATATTTTCACCATATATTGAGAATCGAAAAATCCAGGACGAAGGACTAGGGAGCCTACAGAACCTTGTCAGAGTCAATTCTTTTTCATAAACTAATCACGCATAAACATCATCACTTCGTCCAGAGACAAGCTTCTAATTCTTTTCAGGAAGAGACCGCATTGCCTGAAAATTCACATTATGATGTTAAGCACATGGAACGTGGTAACTGAAGGTAGCTTAAGTGCAAAACCAACCTTGGTTTTCAAACGTTTGCCCTATCGAAACCGAGGATTCGACAAGTTGAAGCCACAGAGTAGAATTATCTAATAGACCTTTTCCCTCGAAGAAAGTGTTCAGATCCACCACCAACTAATAACTAACGAAAAGGGTGTCGTTTTGGAAATGCGAAAAAGTGAGGTCTCGCGATCCAAGAATGAAACTCTGAAACTGGAAAAGAAAGAATGAAAATCTGCAAGTGCACAGCACGGTGTGGATTTATCAGAAATTTGAGAGAATGTTCACGAGCCTAAATCACTTCATGTGTGTTATACTAGAAAGTGAAAGAGAAGAAAAGAAATGGAAAACAGACCGAAAGGCCGGGGTCTATGGAATGAAAACTGGGATAAACACAGGTCAGAATCAACACTATGGGGATTACTTTACAATAGGCGAGAGACTAGTCCGGCGAAGACAGATGCGCTACGCGAAAAAAAAGAAAAACTTCAAGATTACATACAGGCACGAGACCTAATTGAGTTCTCATTATGGAATATTTCATCGTTCTGAACAAAAACAGTAAAATAAGCTGCAAACCCGGAACTCATTGTAGTTACTCTGACGAGAGAATTAAACATCTGCAAAATGCTGAAAGCAATAGCCATTTTGAAACCAGTGATCGAGAAAGTGATCGCATGAGCATCGGAAGCGTTTGCTAGAAGGACGCCGTCTAAAAACACGCTAATCCCTTCTCGATGACACTCCGTGAGTACGGTAATGCCACTCCGGGATTGCGCGGTTTGCGGGTGCGTGCGCGGCAGTCGGTCGAATCGATGCAAGATCGAGGGAGGCACGCTCGGCGTAGCCAAGTCAGTCCGGCCGTAGGTCGATGGGCAGGGCAGTCGTGGCCGCTGGTGGTGTATGAAACCGCAACACAGAATAGCTACACGTGCGGCGTCGTTGGCTTGCGACGTGGGTAGAATCAGCACGAGGTCCCCGATGCCGTTAGTAATCTAACAAAATCGGCCATGATGACATACATGACACATTTATCGTATCTGTATTAGCAACGCGGCGTCAGTTTTTCTGTTCTTTTTTGGCATGTTATATATTCTGAACACCGATGAATAAGAAGATCTTTTCGAAAGTTCGATTTTTCTGAAATCTACAAAAAAAAATTCAATTCAGGCTTTGATTGTTGATCCGGAAGAAATAGATGTTGACGATATGGCAAGACTTCCGGGTAAGTAACAGTTTACTCTTGAAGAAATCCCATATGCTTCTTATTTTTAGGCAACTTTTTTTGATTTTTTCGCTCAGTATAACGAGGTTCTATAATATACATTGTGTTATTGATATTACCTCATATCGCCATTTATTGTTTGTTTTGTTCTTTTTTATTTATTTATTATCAATCATTCATTAATTAATTTATTTTCATTTACTTGTTCCTGGGCTGGAGGGGGGTGGTGTAGTGACAAGTGGCGCGCTTACCACTCGCGGGTTCGAATCCCGGGTCGACTCCCGCCCAGGCCAACCAAGCCTTCTACCCTCCGGGGACGGTACCAGATTCGTCTGGGAGGATAAAACACTGACTTGTACATCGGCTGGCCACCGCAAGTCATTGTATAGGCCACATCGCATTCAATAAGCCACTACGATTCTGAATGGAAGTAGAATGCGTGCCGCATCCCACAAAGGGATTGATCAACGGCGAAGACTTTATCTTTTTATCCTTTACTTGTTCAGACTATTTACTGTATTTGTCTATTTATTCTAATCAATTTATTGTTCAACCACTTTACTCTGTTGTATTTATTGTGCCTAAAAGGGCATAGGGCGTAGTTAGAACTGTTTGAAGGCAGGTGGCACGATATTTCGGTAATTGGCCTAAAATGCTAGCACGACGCCATATAGAGCACCGCAGCCGCTTCATACCAATCCCTTCGCTTCATATTTTACTTAGCAAATAAAGCAATACAAGCATCAGGTACGGTCGTCCATTTGTGGGCGGCGGGCGTGGTGGGCGTTCAGCACCTTCTCAGGGTCGCGGAAATCCGTCCTGCCAGGCGGTATCAGTCCTAGTCCTCTCAGTGATTTATCGTGCCAACTGCCTTTAAAAAAACTCATATTACCCTAGCGAGTTTGTAGAAAGTGAATTGAGACCAAACAATCTTCTCAAAAGTGCATTGGTTATTACAGAACAGCAACCTCGACCCACGGTCCAGCACCCGTTGGGAGAATCCTAACAGGGGTATACCGCCTCCCCCACCTCTTCTCCTCCTCTCCATTTTTAGATTGACGGCACCATTGAACTCCTATTGAACTCTATTAGGGTGTCCACAAAGTTCGTTGGCCATTTGTAAACAGCGTCGCGTTACGCAACGCGTTGTGATTTTGCATAAAGTTTCGCAATACTGAAAGTACTCGCGATGGGCTATCTTCTGAGCTAGCTAGCTCTAAATTTCCTTTCCTGCTCTTCCCACAATAAAGCAGTGAAGATGAGTGATAGTCACCACCACCGCCGATGTTTGCTGGACTACTACAACCTGGGCATCTCCAGACGTCAGGCCACGACCAGGATGCGTCAGCAGTTTGGTGATAACACCCCTTCTAAGAACTGGATGTCAAAATGGTGGACTCGCTTCACCAATGGAAACTATGGCATCGAAGATATGCCGAGGTTTCTGGTTCTCTCGCCACGGCGTCGTCCACTACAGCATCCTACCCAACAATGCCACAGTGACGGCAGAGACCCTCTCTAAAGAATTGCAGGAGGTCAAGGTGAAAGCTGCCGCCTTGTCCCAGAA